ATTTAGTATGAATAATAGCTGTGATGAAGTACCATCATACCTGCTTGCGATACCGAAAGTCCAGCAAGCTCCATCAACTGATCGATAGAGAACGCGCCTGAGGACATGAGCTCTTGGTCCAGTGCAGCCGCGCTTTTGGCGGAGAGGGTCTATGATGGAAATGAGTATTAGCTATTGATGAAACCTAGGCAGAGATTTACCTACTCGAAGAGCCATGACGATCTCCAAAAGTTAGAAATGTTGTGTATGTTGGAACTGAGAGGCTTGTCCACATATACTCGGAACAGCTCATGGTGTTGCGATTACATCACTGCTCCAGGATGAGGTGAGCGAACGCAATAGCAATACAATACCACCACGGCATTGTTGACTTGAAATCTCTACTATACAATGGGTATGTCTGCTTGAACAATATACTGTTTCTACAATTCGAGTGCTCAGCACTGTTGATTCTTCATGTCAAGATAGCCACCCCTTCGCACGTGCCCACCCGTCTCGGCAGATCCTCGGCCCTAAAAAGATATACCCAAACCTCCAACAAGCACACCCGCGCCCCAACGCAGGTGTCGCATCAACCCCACACAACACACAATGGTCCTAAGAATCCGACTCGCACGCTTCGGCAAGAAGCACGCTCCCTTCTACAACATAGTCGTCGCACACGCACGGTACGTCTTCGCCTCTTTTGCAATCATCGAAGCGAATCTCGGAAGTCCGCAAATACTTCAATCGCCCTCAATCGCAGACTACATGCCTACGCACAGCGCACCAATGATTCTACCAACGCGATGCTAATAACACAATCAGAACAGCGCGTAACTCCCGCCCTCTAGAAGTCCTCGGAACGTACGACCCAAAGCCACAACCCCCGCGACCGGGCGACACACACGGCCGGCCATGGAAAGACATTAAGCTCGATTTATCGCGCGCGCGGTATTGGGTCGGTGTAGGCGCTCAACCTAGCGATACGGCGTGGCGGTTACTGAGCATGGTGGGCATACTGGAGCCGCAGTACCGGGTGGGCAAGATTGCGGGGATGGTGGTTAAGAGTGGGAGTGCGGCGAAGTCATTGATAAAAGAGGAAAACACGGCGGAGGCGGAACCGAAGGTTGTGGTTGAGAACATGGAGGGTGGGACTAAGGAGACTGCTGCGTAAAGAGGGGGAGGATGGCGTTTGGGCCACTGCAGTGCGAAGGATCCGTTATGGGTAGTTGTGATTCGTGAGAAGAAGAGAAAAGGAAGAAATATACCACGACAATTCGACGTCGGGTTTCTGGAAACGAAAGCCGTAGAAGATCAATGCCCGAAGTCTCGGCGTTGGAGTAGTTGCTTTGCAAGGGACAGGCCCTTAGTTAGACCACGAGAGGCTACATACACACTGTATAACCTGTAACAATATCACAAACATCAGAATTAACGTCAGCATTCAGGTCTGATATTCGAGAAGGCTATCTTTAACGAAACAGGCTAGATGTGTTGGAAAGAGTTGTTATTGGCTTCCATAAGCGAGACGTGGCGTTGTGCGTATGCATACCTCCTGAACTTTGCCGTTCAATCAGCTGACAAGCGTGGAGATTCAGCAGGCCTGGGAGACCTTCTACCCCGCAGCCCTCCACATGTTTGTCCCATCCGTAGTGATGGCAGATCAGGCAAGGGAGTGAATAACAGGTAGATCTGGCCCATAGCTTCAGTGCGTGAAAATAACAACGTCGTCAAACTAACGAGACAGCGGCCACTTTCCGTGTATCCTCCGTCGTTACATTGCCGACATATTGACGGATTGCCCCCACGAGGTTCCCATCACAACATGAAACGAACACGAGCATCAAGTGCGTCTGAGGCTCCTCCAGAAAAGCGACAACGATCCGTGGCCTTACAGGCTGCCAACTATCAGGGCCATAAAGACACACCCAGACCACGAGATGGAGCAGTGTGTCCAGAACCGATTTCGCTTTGTTCCAGATGCTCGTCCATCGATATTGAAAGCCTTTTCGTCGGCCTAGGGGTTCAGGAGAAAGCCATAAAACTGATGGATCTTGGAAAACTTGGGACAGAAGCTGAGCTCTCTTCATACTCATTGTGTCGCCTTTCCATACGTCGAAAGTACTGGATGACGATCGCCAAGCAGTCAGTGACTACGCCCTATATCTAACGTATCCGCCACCACCGAACACCCGTTGGGATGGATCAGTGTTAGCTGTAGTCCAAGAAACGAATAAACTCAAGGATGACTTCAAGTACCGCAAGCCTACGTGGGTGGAGAAGATACATCGTATCGGTGCGTTCACCGGGTTCATTGCATGTTCAGGAGCCTCGAAGACGGGTTATCACGCACATTCGCTGCGGGCACGAACGATCGATGCAAGATCGATTGATTTCGATATCATTCGAGGTTGGATGCAGCAATGTGATCGAGAGCACACAAAGCGGTGCCATCGAATCGAATCATCAGGTTCACGTCTGAAGGACCTGAAGTTAATTGATTGCGAACGGCGACGGATTGTAGCAGCGTTGCCATCATATGAGTATTCCTCACTCAGCTATGTATGGGGGACGAACAGATCTGACAATGATCGGTGCGTCCATGACGAACTTCCTACGATCCTACCCCGCACCATCGAAGATGCACTGAAAGTCACTCAATTTCTTGTTCTTCGATACATCTGGATCGACAGATATTGTATTGATCAGGAGAATGATGTTGAGAAACAAATCCAAATCCAGCAAATGGACCTTGTATACCAAAGAGCGGTCGTGACTATAGTCGCTGCAGCAGGCATCGATCCAAATTTTGGCCTACCTGGGGTTAGTGATACGCCAAGAATTCCTCAAGCAACTGCCTGGGTTGGAGGACAATGCCTTGTAGCAACTCTTCCTGATCCACGGGCGCTCGTCAAGGCCTCTAAGTGGGCGAAGCGTGCATGGACTTATCAAGAGAGCTACTTCTCGACTCGACGTATCATCTTTACGCAACAACAGGTATACTACGAGTGTGGAGCTGGCAATGCATATGAGGCAGTCGATAACATCCAGGAAACTCAATATTTCCGTGTTAAAGACGCGACCACATACGATCAGCATTTCCCTTGGAGCATCTGCTCTCACCTGACTGAATATTGTGGAAGGGAACTCTCCCTTGACGTCGATGCTATACGCGCGTTTGAAGGAGTGTTCCACAGCTTCATAGAATTGAAGCCCCCTGTTCATCAATACTCGGGTATTCCCATCATGCCACCAATTATTATGGGGCTTCTCGGAGAGATAAAAGAAGCAAAACGGAGTAGGAGTGAGGCTTTCGCTGCTGGGCTCTCCTGGTGCAATACCGCGCCCGGTAGCAGGCGTGCCCTATTTCCTACTTGGAGCTGGGCTGGGTGGACTGCTCCGATCAATTATCAACATGAACTATGTGTATATGGATTCAAATTCGACAGCGCATATCCATTGAAAGTCTTCATAGAGAACTACGATGGGTCACTTCTGGACATGGACAAGCAGAGCGACGTCTTGCTAGATCATGGTATACGTGGTCCTTCTAGCAAATTTGTCCATATTGAAGCATGGACAATATCCATCGATATCCGATACATGCCTGAGATGACAGATGAGTGGCTCGATGGTTTAAAGCCATCCCCATGGTATAGCCATAGACGCGTATGGAACCGCAATGTTTCTGGCCATTTTGCCTTCTTTCAAGACGAAGAGGGAACTTCTTATGTTCCCTTGTACTCATTGTTTCAAACGTACGAAATCGGTGTTACTACACACCAAAGCTATGCGCCAGACTCTGAACAAGATAGCCTATTGGGTATAGTGTTGGGAAATGTCCCCCAGGAATACTACTACCCTAAGGCTGTGTTTGTTATGATTGTCCATAGTAAAGGGCCCTCTTATGAACGGGTCGGACATATGACGATTGAGGAGAATACAGTGGTAGATACAGGGCTTCATTCAGGCTCTTTTTGGCAGCGTTGTTTCCATTCGAGGAAAAGGAAAACTATTCGTTTGGGTTAATGCTAGCTTGCAAGATCTTGCACAGGTAAATGAAACAATTGAAGAAGTAATGAGTAGTTCTTGTCGAGCGCGTCGCCTCAGTAGTAGATAGAATGGCGCACATCAACCTCAGCGCCCGTGGTTAGTCTCTTCAGAAGTTCGTGAATACACCCAACTAATATAGGTTAATTATCAATTCTGAAGGATCGCTTGAATTACAGCCTACTGAGCAGAGTCTGATACACTAAAATTAGTGATGGTCTCCTATACAGACAGCGAAAGTAGAGAAGGTAGAGGGGTGATCCGGTCTCAGTTCGACCAGGTTCTGCTCCAAGTATCTTGCTTGTATGATACGCCCACCGCAGGAGACGTGGTAAAGACGATTGTTCTGTATTAACAGCACAAGAAAACACAGCATGAGAGAAGCAACTATGAGGGAAAGGGGGTTACATTCTATACACGTAGTCCGATTCACTATACGCAGCCTATGACAATCCAACAAACATCACGATCCAGGTGCCAGTCCACAACAGACGTTCCGGAAGAGCATTGCAAATCGAGCAGTACATTTCGTACATTTAACTCCACGCTAGTATGCCTACAGCTACATGTATGCTTACACAACCCCAGCACTAACATAAAATCCGGCTCCAACGCCAGCAAACCCAAGTCATGCCCGCATCCAATCTAATCCCCAACTCCCTCTTTGCCATGACAACAGAAAATAAAGGACTCCAGCTAAATGCAACACACATCTCCTTCACTCCCTCCCTCTCACACTCACAGCTCAATGCGCAGCCGCCACAAGAAAAGTATTAGTAACCAAACAAACCACCATAACCACCACCCCATAAACACTCAGCGCCAACGCCCCATTCCTCAACAACCCCCTCCTAAAATCGCGATTCGAATGCCCCTCCCTACTAACATAACCACCCTCTGAATCAACCCCTTCATCCTCATCATCCTCATCCTTAACAAGCCGCTGATGATGCGACGACTCCGGGTCACTAATCTTGTAATAAAACAATCCGGGCAAGATAAAACTAATAGTCGTGCTACCCGTCGACCCCACATACGCCAACACCTTTTCCAAACTACTCACCGTCATGGCGGTAACAAACGACAGGATAATAAGTACCGTGCTAATGACTGCGAATTTCAAATCGCTCATCTCGCTCGCTTTGGGCGGGGGCGAGGGCTTCGGGGTATTGGTGATGAGTGAGTTGCGAGATGGGCTGCCGACTTCGGATTGCTTGTGCTTGTGTTTGCGCAGGCGGCCTGGACGCCACTTTAGACATGCGTCGATGCTGGCACGACAGGGATGGATTTGGAGGGGGTAAGAGAACATGACGAGGATAACGATGGCGAGGCGGCCAATGGTACTAGCTGCTGCAGTCGGGTACATGGAGACAATGTTGCCGTGGATGTTGTCGCCATACGATAGATAACCCGTGATTCCCGTTAGGATGTAAAGACCGCATGCGCCGCCAATGGACGCGAAGATGACGGTCGTGGTCTGGAAGTGCGAGTTGTCTGCTATTTCGTTGAGGATGGAGAACATGTTCTGGTGGCATGTGTAGGCGAAGACGATGACGGGGAAGGCGGCGAGGGCGGAGACGGGGCCCGCCCATTCGAAGACTCGGACGGTACCTCGGTCGGCGAGGGTGTCGCCTTTGAGGAAATGTGCTACGACTAGGATGACAAGGTAGGCGATGGAGAAGAGGGCGATGACGCTGGTGTACTTGAGGGAGTCGAGGCGGCGGAGGAAGGAGAGGGGGATAACGATGAGCCTGTTGCCGTTAGCACATTCCTTGAGCTTGAGAGCGGACGACCTACATGAAGGCCGTAATCCAGAACTGCCTGTCAACTAGGAACGTGATGTCGCTCGCACCAGGCGCGAAACCCCGAACAACGCCCGGCATCAGATCTCCGATGATGATAAGGTAGCTGACAGCCACGCCGAAGCACTTGATCGCAATCGCAGCGTCAAAGATGATGGACAGGTTCGGATATGTCATCTGCGACAGTGTCGCAAAAGACACATGGCCCCGGTCAATATACCGCGCGCATCGCGTCTGGAGGTAGAGACCAAAGCCTGCTGTTGCACCCGCCCACGCGATGACAAAGATGCCGAGGAAGATGCCCATTTTCGAGAGCGCGGAAGGCATGGCAAGGAGGCCGGCACCGAGAACTGTACATGGTCAATAAGCGTGCTGTTGTGGACTGGTGTGGTAGAGGCGTACTGGTGTTCGCCAGGTTGATGACACTTGATATCCATGTCGCCTGGCCTTTGAATCCAACGTCTTGCTTTCCTCGACCTCTCCTACTGCCATCAGCTTCTGTGCGATAAGGACTACACGGGCGTATCTCACCGTCTGCCTCGAAGCGACCCCGTACTCGAAGTCATAGGATCGGCCTCTGTGGGCTCGGGCCCGATGGCGGAGTAGGAAGCCATACTCTGAGGTGCGATGCGAAATGCGCAGTTAGGCTCGTGTTATTGCGCGTTCATCCGTCACAGGCTGGCGGGGCTCCTGGGATGCTGCAAGGAAGGATAGAAAGCGAGTGTAAGCAGTCAGATGGCTGCGATAAGCTCCCAGACGGTGAAAAGAGAGGCTTCGAGTCCGCTGACGTCTGTCTGGTGGTCGCATGGCGCCAATAATCCGGGGGCTTTGCCTTATCAGCGGCCGCTAAAATTAACATCCGTGATCCCGACACTCTCACGGCAGGTACGCGCCAACCACGTGAACTCCGAATACCATTCCGAGATACACAATACACACCAGGGACCACAACGGCACAATGGACGAATACGAGGAGGCTGTTCTCTTCACGTTTGCGCTCCTCGAGACGCGATTAGATCGCCTGGAATATATTCTGGGTGGTTCCCAAGACAGCACCAAGGACAAGGCGAAGACAATTCCAGATCGCATACACAAGATGGAGCAGTCGCTGCAGCAGCTCGCCGGCAAGACCGCATTGCTCGACGAAACGAACAACCTGCGTATGTGTGCTCGCCCGGATACCTTTGCTACTCGGGACTAACAAAGCCAAGTGAGCAAGCACAAAGACGTCCTTACACCCATCCTCCACAACCACGACTCCACCCCCGAAAACGACAACGATGCAGACGGCCCCGCACTCGACACCAACCAGCGCGCAGCCCTGGTCCTCGAACGCGCCCCCGCCATCTCCCAAACCGCCTCGCAACTCCAAGCCCTCGCCGACCAACAAGTCCCCTCCACCGACGGCTTCGCCAAGCTAGCTGTCCTGCGGCCCCGCATTGCTGAGGCAGAAGACCGCCAGCTACAGCAAGCACTCAAAATATCTGAGCTGCGAAGACGGAACGGGCTACTGAATCAGAGATATAGGCATGTCATGTTCCTTGGCGCGGGGAGGTGCTGGGTCGACTACAATGAGAGGCTTACCAAGGGATTGAGAGCGCTTGTTAGGGAGGAGTACAGACGGAGGGAGGACACGGAGGAGGGGAGGGGGGTGGAAAGGGATGAGGAAGAAGAAGAAGAAGAAGAAGAAGAAGAACTAGAGGGAGAAGGAGAGGGCGACGAGTCCAAGTCTGAGTACTCGGATGACGAGCTGTGAGGAGTGTCTACACCTTGAGCACACACACACTCTCTCTCTGCACACAGTCCCGTCGACCCAGAGAAGCTGCAGTCGGACAGCCGGCGTCATGAGCATCCGACTGTCGGCGAAGTAGTACCAGTCTGAGACGAAGACCCTACACACGATATTTTTCTTTCATCCGCATAGCGTTCAAAGGGTAAGTCGCCATTCATGCGTTGCTGCAAATACAGACGTCAGATGGTTTCATGGCGTGGCTGAGGCGCTGCTGACAGATGCCAGGCATGCAGGTGCTTCACTGTTACCATGGATTACCTTTGTCGCAGCGTGGCAACGTGGCAGCCACACCCGGTGACCGCATCTTGCCCCGAATACATTTGACAATACACCTGAGAAGAGACACACGAGTTCTGGGCATAGCAAGTGAACCGGATCAGCATAGAGGGTGTGTGTGTGGTGTGGCCTGCGTCACAATCGTTGCAGTGATCCGGGGTCCCAACCGTTACAGTGTGGAAAAAGACTTACTGGCTTCGGATCAAGCAAGTACCCGGATTACGAAAAGTGACATGTTGGTAAAACAAAAATCCACACATGACGACAAAGTATGGACAGAGGGACATTGATACGGCCATGCAATTGGCCTCTTCTGCAACGACATGCAGAAACAGTTCGCCATGTCACATTTCACGGAGACGTAGCAGAATCAGATAGTTCAAACAGCAACTAACTTTGCAAGCGCCACCAGTCGACTCTCGCCATGATGTAAAGTGATGTCGTTGCTGCAGAGTGACGGGTGCGGAGGGCTCAGTGCCGTGTTTCATCGTCGTCTCGCATCAGCAGCAGTGTGGCAGGTTACAAGGGTTCCCCGAAAGAGAGCGTAATAGCGCCGAGCAGGGCCCCCGGTATGCAACAATCTCCTGCCGAAAAGTCCCATGGGCAAGCAAGGAACTACTACTTGCATGCGCCACGCCAAATGAGGCGCACGTGTCACCAACAAACCATGGGAAATATGGAATGGGGAGGGGGCGTGGGAAACGTGGATAGCATGCGTAAGGGACGACGCAGGGTGCGACTAGATTGATTAGCCTGATATAATGGGCTGACAAGCTCATTCAAATGCTCAAGTTGCATATTAAAGTGCCACATTTTTTTTGGTTGGGCGGGGAATGTCCGGTGTCGACTGCGCAGTAAGGGAGTGAACGAGGTGTTCTCGAGTGACTCGATTATGCATGATGAGGCGTCGACTGTCGTATTCTAGGGATCCCTTCAAACGACGTATGTGGCTAGACTGCGCCACGTTCTTGGCCACAAGTGGATTGAAGAGTCGTAGTAATAGAATAGTCGACGTGAAGTCAAAGGCATATAGTCGTTGAAAGTGTCCCAATGCGCTGTACACGGAGCCATCTCGTTTGTGTGCGTGCAGTGGCTATCGGCGGCTCGACGGCCATGTTCAAAGAGGGCTAATGCACTAGACGCGCGTGTTCCTGTCCAGACCTTTGGCTGACGGGCGCGGTGCCATTTTAATCTCAGCGGGACCCGCAGCAATCCCCGTATCCTTAGCCATTCAGCGCGGCCAATCGAGAACCACTGGGAACCCAACTTGAAACCGTCGCATCTCTCGTCTTTCCTTTCCCACACGCCCTCCTCGCTCCAAACCCTTCTCTCGAATAATCCACAGCCTTGCTACTACAACAACCGCCTACCCTTTCGCAGCCGCCCGTCCACGTCGCATTTCCAAGCGCGCCCACTTCTGTAACTGCTGGTCACTGGACGCCCGCCCTTCTCCTCCCGCTTACTCTGCCTTGCGCCCTGTGCACCCGTTCGCTCTGCACAACACCAACGACCGAGCCGCCGCGCCGATATACTTGCCCTCACCCGTCCACCGAACAGCGCGCATCTACACCACACTCTTTGACTTGCCCGTCTGCGTTCGTCCTCTTCACACCATAATACCGGATTCGGTTCACCACACGCTCTTTCTCTTTTACATCACCTGCTCGCGACAGTATAGCCTAATCGTCGCGCCCCTTTGAGCCCCTCTCGTCGCCGACGACGACCCCATCGACGGTTAACCAACATATGCCCGCTTACGGCTCGCTGGGCGAAACTCCTTCACTACGCAAAATGGAAAACGGAGGCTACGGCCAGAGATCGTCGGGCTTCAGTCTGGGTCGCATTATTGGAGATCCCTTTGCGCTGGCCACCATATCTATCGGTATTGTGAGTATTGAGTGTGCCGCCCCCGGGTGTACGCGGCATATAACTAACGGTTTGGTCATGAACAGCTCGCCTGGATCATCGCTTTTGTCAGCTCTATAATATCTGCTATTCACGGTGGTTTCCCCAACTTTGCGTGGTGGACGCTGGTCTTCATGTTCTTCTGCATTGCGGGCGTTACGGTCACAGTTGCCTCGGATGCTGAGAGGACGTACCATGTCGCGGTATGCAACATCAACAACAAATGAGCACGAAGATGTCCCTTGCTGATTTACCGACAGATTGTAGGCTTCCTTGCCGCCGGCCTCGTCTTCACCACGTCTTCTGTGAACTCGCTCGTTTACTCCCCCGTCGCTCCCTTTGAAGCCGCAGCAGCCGGTTACATACTCCTATCCATGATCGCCGTAAGCTTCCCCTCCCACCCACCCACGCACGAACATGCAAGCTAACACACGTGCCCCAGATTGTATGGATCTTCTACTACGGCTCGCAGCCCCAAGCCAGCCACCGCACCTTTGTCGACTCGTACGCCCTCCACAAAGAACACCCAGGCTCCCGCTCCTCCCGCCCCATCTCCAACGGCTACACCAACCGCCCAGAAACCCAGTCCGCAAACATACCCCCCCAGATGTACACGTCGGCCCAACTCAACGGCTTCGAAACCTCGTCCCCTGTATCGGGTTATCCCGGTGGTCCCGTGGGTGCCAACGGTCGGAATTCATCCGCTGCTGCTCCTCAATTCGGCGGCGGCATGAGTCTGGGCGGTGGTGGTGGTGGTATGAATGGAAACATGAGCACCATGACGCCTACGAATGACGAAACGATGAACCAGGAACAGTCGATTGAATATCCGTACCGTGCCAAGGCGATTTACAGCTACGAGGCTAATCCAGATGATGCGAATGAAATCAGCTTTCAGAAACATGATATTCTGGAAGTGTCGGATGTTAGTGGGCGGTGGTGGCAGGCCAAGAAGCCGAATGGGGAGACGGGTATTGCGCCTAGCAATTACCTCATCTTGTTATAAAAAAAAAGAGGCTTGGAAAAGAGGACTGGTTTCTCTTGTTTTAACGACCCCGCCACGACATATTTTCCTTTTTTTTCACTTTCACTTTTCCATCTTGACACACTTTGATGTGTTATACATCTACTACGTTTTCGAGCAGAAGGAGAGAGGGAGAGAGCAGCAACATACGAGTTGTTTCATTCTCACAGAGAGAGACACACACATGGAGAGAGAGAGACATCTCCGTCCTACTGGCTTCGCCGCCTTGCCTGTCGCCTAGTCAGGGGCGGGGAAGAAAAAGAGAGCCACTTAGAGGAGGAGGATGAGAAGAAGAAGGGGGGGTTTATGGTTTTGGATTATGTGTAAAAACCGTGTAACTGAAAGTCGCGCTGCACGGGGTTGTTCTGTGGCTCTATACCTTTCTTTGCACGATACCCCAAAGTTTTTTTCATTTCTCCCAACACCTTGTTTTTTTTTCTTGGTTTGAATTGTTTGTCACTTTAAAATGGTTTACACATAAGAGAGAGAGAGAGAGAGAGAGAGAGAGAGAAGTTAATTTCAAATCTTTTGTTCAACTTTTGTACTCTTCATTCCTATCGTCCGATCTTGTTGTAACTTTCACTTCTGTGCTGAACGGGGGGAGAGAGAGGGATGAT